TTTTGAATATAACAAAAAATTAACCTAAACCTTGGAGTGTCTGGCAACTATGTTTTGCAAGAGTGGGAGAACTTTCGATCAGCTATTTTTGTTCAATGGCTGATCTAGTCCTCGCTGTATATTAAAGAACCTGATGCATCTCAGGCTTTGTTAACCCTCTATTCACCTCTCCATTCTAGGCTACTTCTTCATGAGCTCAGAAATTCCAGCTGCTTTTACTTGTCTTTTTAAAGTAGTTGTAGATCCTTTTTTTCTTTTGGGGAACTTCCTTATTTCTATCTTATTTGCCGTGCCTGAATATAAACACATAGGCCCTTTTAATAAGAGGATGTTTTCTGAAGTTCCTATAGAAGAAACAGGCAAGGAGTTATCTACATGTGTTGATTGTAGTTTAAAGGAAGAGGCATTAGACTTGAAGTCAGTCCTTAATTAAAAGCCTAATCACCTTGTTTGCTGGAGATATTAAGTGACTTCACTTTTCTAAATTTACACACAAGATGCAGATAATCTTACAAGGTTCTTGTGACTCAAATATACAGCAAAGTGAACTGAACAAAGTCCTCATGATCAGTTCACTGGGTCTATAACCCTTTTTTTCCTTGCCAGATCATATCTTAGAGATGGTTTGATAGTAGAAGAGACCATTCCTGAAGTTAATTCAGAGTCAAGTCTCTTCCCTCCCTCCCCCCCGCCTCTGGTAAGCTCAGCACAAACCCATCAGGCTCTATGAAGCAGATCTCCAAGGCAAGCATGAGGTGAAGTCCTATATCCAAATGTCAGGTTACTAGGGAAAAGCTAGAGCTCTGCTTTACTACTATTCCTCTTAGTAACTAACGGGAAATCGCCTCTGCTGGGGAAGAATTAAGGCTAAATCCAGAGGCGGCTCCGTAGCATTGTTGAGAAAATGTAGCTTTTTTTGTTTCCTTAATGATCCAAATCTCATATATGGAAAATCTCAAGGACTAAACTCTATTCCATCAGACAGGCAGCTCTGTGTCCGTATATGTAGACCTGTTCCAGGCATAATAGATGCTCAATTAAATCCCAAGGAAACCTAAAGGAATTATTTTAATCAGTGAAATGTGATGGGTAACATTTCTCTGGACTGAGAATTTTCCAACTTTTCCTTAAAATGGTAGTCTAATCCTCTGCAGGTTATATATGTTCACGACCGACTGTGTTCTCTCACTTAATATCTGCAATCATGTTTCCTGAGAAAGAGGCCTCAAAATGTGAGGAAGATGAGGAAGGAAAAGTCATAGTGAGAGAAGCTCTGCCTGAAGTTATAAGGTTGCCATCTTTTGTAAAACTTTATCTATTCTGAGTCTTGCCCAAGTCCCTTTTCTCTGGTATAATCCAACAAGCCTATGAGAAAAAGCATATGGGAACAACTGGCAATGTTCAGATGCATTTATTCAACAATCAGGCCAGCCAGGCATGGTAGTGACCTCATGGGGTTTCAGAACCATGGTTCTCAGCAAGGCCCAGATTTTTGAATGAGGACAGGAATCTGGCGCTTCCTGTAGAAGAGATTGAAAAAAAAAAAATCAGCTTAAACTTTGGTGACAAAAAGTTACTATAGGAGAAAACAATGGAAAAAGTTGACTTTATTTACAATAGAGAAGTTTGAGATTTATTCCCATTTCCCTTTCTTTCATTCATTTGTTCACATATTCATTAATTCATCAGATATTTACTGATTAATATTACATGCTTTACGGTTACATCAAAAAGGAAAAATGTCTGTCTTTATAGAGTTTCCAGCTCTATTACAGCTCTAGTGAGGCATTGTAGTGAACCTCTGAAGTCAATCTCAACTTCACTGTTGCTCCTGATGCCTCTGCCATAGACACTAGGTTTCCATTTTAGCCGGTGCCTGGGCTATTGTAGGACCTTCTAATTGACTGATCTTTCATCTTAGAACTCTCGGAACTCATATCTGTAAGGTCTTGCAAAAGGAAATCATGTCTCTACCCTGTATGATACCTGCCAACTCTAGGCATCATCCCACCAGATAAAAACCTCTCTGCTCCCCAATACCACCTTTCCCAAACAGTTTTCTTATCTCTAAGCAAAATATTTCTAAATTCTGTAATTGTTTCTCATAAGACTGTTTCCAGACCTTTCGTTTTTCTAACCATGCTTTTCTTGAATGTACTGGCTTACAAAAATTCTTCTATTTCTCTGTTACTAGAGGACATCTGACTTCCATATATCTTTATACATGGATTTATCTGGACCTTGTTGATTCTTCATTTTAAGAGTTTTTAATGCTTTCTTGTCTTATATTCATTAACTGCTCATGATACTGATTTCCAAATTCGTTAGCATAACTAATTACAAACATTTTAACAGAGCACACAGGAGTTGACTTATTTTCTATAGTTATGCTGTTCACTGTGGTTCAATGTGTTTACTATCCACATATAGCTATTTAAATTTAAATTACAGTTAAGTGGTCTTAAAAATTTAGTCTCTCTGTTTTAATAGCTGTATGGCTAAAGTACTGTGGCTAATAAGTATGTGTTGGACAGCACAGATACAGAACATTTTCTTCATTATAGAAAGTTCTATAGGACAAACCTAGTCTATAGAAAAGAATTTGCCAGTACAGATTCCTTAAAAAGACAAGAAGAAATAAAAAAATTCCTTATTGAATATATCTGCCAAACACATAGTGAATAAGGAAACTACCATATGCAAGTCCTTGTTCAGTATTATCTACTTGTCCCCAAATCCAACAACTATGTGAGAGCCTGGCTCAAATTGCTATACAATGAATTTGTCTGGGGATTTTAATGAACCATAGAAAGAAAGGCAATATAATACATTAGGAAATATGTTGTATTTGAGAAAACCACTTTTTGTCTATAGTTCTAAGTTTTTTCATCTGAAAAATATGGGAAGAAAGTTATGTTTTCCGGCATCCCAATGTTCCTCCCATATACATATTTTTTTAGTTTTATTTTATGTTTAGTTGGCAGACAATAATTGCATATACTTATGGGGTACAAAATGATATTTTGATACAACTATACACCATGAAACAATCAGATCAGAGTAACCAGGATATCTGTCACCTCAAATATTTATCATTTCTTTGTGGTGAGAACATTTAAAATGCTTTCTTTTAGCTGTTTTGAAATATAAAATACATTATTATTAACTTTAGTCACCATGCTGTGCAATAGAACACCAAAGTTTATTCTGTAACAAAGTTAACTGTAACTTTGTACCTGTTGACAAACGTCTCCCCTTTCCCTGTTCCCACTAGCCAGCGTATGTTAACTGAAATAAGCCAGGCACAGGCACAGAGAGACTAATATGGTATGATCTTACTTATATGTGGAATTTAAAAAAGTCAAAGCCATACATATTTTTGAATGAAAGGAAAGAGCAAGCAGGAACTGGTAGGTTTTAATGGCTAAGGGAATAGGGTGTTCTAGCCCTATGCTCATGTTTTCCCATTGTTTCACTCTAAATATTGGGTTTTTCAGTCTTGGCACCTGGACTTTTTCCAGTCTCAAGGCTGTTCTATCGCTTTCTCCTCCTCTTGGATGGAAATATGATGTTTGATCTTAATGTCAACAACATAGGTCATGAGAAAATTAACAAGTGGTTTCAAATTCCTTTTACAAGTCTTTTATTAAGGAAACAGATTCCCCACAAAGTAGAACACCTAATGTTTTGGGTCCAAAACTTCAGGATATTAGAACCTCTCACCCTGGGGACCTATTCCCACAATCCTTGCTTAACTCTGAGAATTTTCCAAGATAGTTAAATAACCCAAGAAGAGGGTTTGTTTAGAAAAGGGAATTTATGGAGAGGAATACAGGAAAATTACAAAATCATTTAAGCCTAAATCAAAGTCTTTAATGTCAAGTCAATCCCAGAAAAATGAAGAGTTTCCTGGGTCCCTTGCGGAATCCCTTTTATTTGTTTTGATAGTTCCACACGTTTACTTAACCTGGAATGCTCTTTCAATGCTGCCAACAAAAGCCCTGTTTAAATGGTATCATTTTCATGAATCCTTTCATGACTTCTTTCAATAAGAAGAAATCTGTATCTCTACTTCACTTCTGTAGCACTTTACCTCATTTTCTGGCATTTGCTCCAGGTTATAAGAAGCTATCTTATATGTGCTCAAGACCTATTTTCTCTTAGTCAAATGCACAAAGAAAGCAGGAGAGACTAGCTCAATGCTTGGTGCATGGTAAGAGTTAGTTGTAGTTGAGTAAGATGGAAAATCTATAGCAAATATATTTCTCCTTGTGCCTTGAATCTGATTCTCATCACCTACTTGTGGGCACTTCAGAAAATGACACTTTGTAGAGAGTAGAATATTGGTTACCAGAGGCTAGAGTGCTGGGGGAGAGGAAGATGTGGATTAACAGGTACAAAGTCACAGGTAGATAGGAAGAATATGTGCTGGTGTTCTGGGCTGACTATAGCTAATAATATTATATTGTATATTTCTAAATAGCTAGAAAAGATGGATGATCTTGAACATAATCGTCACAAAGAAAAGATAAATGCTTAGGTGACCAATATGCTGTCGGCCCTAAGTGAATTATTGTACATAATATATATATGTATTGAAACAACATACTGTTCCCCACAAATATGTACAATTAAAAATCATGGGGAAAAAAAAGAAGAAGAAAAGGAAAATGAAGCTTTATTGAGGCTGGCTCTCATATCTATGAATAAAAAAGATTACAAAAATACATTTTTGGCCACTCCATCTATACAATTTATATTCACATATTTAGAAAGCACAATCATTGCTAGCACTAGGAATTATTTTTAAAGTTAAAGGTATTTGGTGTGTATGAGTTGTTTAAAAATCCAGACTACTGTTTTCCTGTAAAAATGTGGGGTTTTATCATACAAGTAACTTTTAAAAATCATATTATCATGCCAGATATATAAAAAGGAGGAAAATAGAGAGGAACAATTATTTTTGGGAAAAGTAGATGCTTTGTTTCTCTCATGGTAAGATTCATATTATTGATATATTTATTGGGGCTTTAGAGAGATAAAACATACACAAGTTTGAAGACAACTAATTAAAAAAAATATGTTAAAATAATTTAAATTTGTACTCACTTATTTTCAAGACATAGCATGCATTCATTGGAATAAGTATTTCCATCAGTTCCACAGACAGGGTTATATATCTTGGTACATTTATTAAATTCGTTGTTACAATTAGCCTAAAAATGGAATTCAACAGAATCATTTCCCATCATTTTTCATTCTTTGAGTTTATGGCAAAATCTTTAAAATGGTTTTAATCCCTCTGGGGTACAACTGTAATTGGGAGAATGACACTGAGTGTTCCAAGATAAAGAACCCAAGATCTGGAGTCAGAAAACGTGGTTTTAGACCCCAGCTCATGCTATGTACAAGCTGTGTGACATTGCTAACTCTCATTCAAGCCTCTTTGAACCTCAATTGCTTCATCAGCCAAATGGGACTGCCATTATTATTCTCCCACCATCTCATAGTGCTGTGGTGAGGTTTACCCAAGACGATCAAGATAATGTTCATGTTCACAATCACAGCAGGTGCTGGCTTTGCTAGGGTCAGCTGCTCCTTGGGCCATGTTCTTCCTTGCACAATAGTCCATGCACACTGGTCTTTTTTTAGGCACTTCAAGACACTGAGCGACTTCTATTCTGGGAGTCTTTGCCCTCTGTTTTGTCTACTGCAGTAAGAGCTAATAATCATCAAATGACTGTTATAGGCCAGACACTGTCATTAAGTGCTTTCTATGTACTACTCCATGTATTATAATAAACCTCCCAACTATCCTGTGAACTTATTTTTATTATACTTTTCTTCAGGTGAAGATAACGAGGCAGAAAATGATGAAATCACCCAAGGCCATGCAGCTAGTAATACCTGGATCCAGAATTCAAACCTATTCATTCCAGTTCCTGAGCTTTAGCTCTTAACCACTTCATGTTACTAGTCTCCCCACTAGTTCTGTTTTACTAACACTCATTTATCCTTTGTGGCTCAAAATAACTCTCACTTATTTAGGGGCACCTTCCTCGATTTCTCTAATGAGGTTAAGGTCCTAACGGTACCAGAGCTTCGTCGTAACACTTATCACAAGTGTAATAATTTATTCACTCATGACCTTTTGGTTTATCAGCTGCCTCCCCCTAGATATACATGTAATATGAGGGACATTTCTTCCTCTGGTCTCTAAGTTTACTGAAATTAACTTTTAAACAAAGAAAGACACAAAAATATTAGATTTAGAATATTTTCCAAGAGGAAGAACCCAGTTTATGTTCTGTTGTTTATAATAAAATGGAGCTGCACATTGGTGGTTGGGGGAACTTTGTGCCAGCATGGAGGAAGGGCTACTTTGAGTGAAGCTGAGAAGGCTTCCACCCAAAATTCTTGTCCTACCAGCTAACACTAGTTTATACAAAAACTCCTTCACAGCGGGCATTATACAACTATATAGAACTGGTCTGTGTGTCGGTGAATTTGTCCTTCAATATGAGCCTGGGGGGAAAACTGCTATTACTAGGTACATTTAAAAGGTTAATCCTTGTGGCCTTCATTCTCCTCACCTTGACTTCAGGCTACACTGAAAAGTGACAGCTGGACTGCTCTTTTGTTAGATCACACAGTTCCAGCCTAAGATAGAAGAAATGACAAAATTCTCTACCTTTTTACCCAGGGAGTCAGCACCAGTGTTACCTAGAAAACATAAATCAGTCATGTTAGATCCTAGATGGGAAACACCAGATCCATTCTTACTCAGAATTCTCTGCTTTCTTTGAAGGCTGTGACTCCTTTGCTGGCCTCTTTCACTCCCTACCCCTTCTTATTTCCATCCTCTTTCAAGCACACCTGACTGGTTTCCATTCACTTCCTGCCTGCTGAAACTTCAAAAAAATTAAGTAAAAGTTTGATTATGACCAAAAGACCTCAATTTGGTATTTCAGAAAAGTCGATCCATTTCCTTGAAAATAGGAATTATGTACTCACTGCTTGAAATGTACCAGGCACTGAGCAAGTAGCTTCTGAATGACCACTAACATTCTCACAACCACTTTGATCTCATAATTAGCAAAGTATGAGTATCTTTATTTATCTTAGTTTATGGATGAAGGTATGGAGAGTTGATATAACTACCTGTGAAACAATTATGAACGGTAGCCAGGTCTTCTGATGTAAAATTAACATTTGCAATTACATTTAAGTCCCCTTTTGTAAGTAATGTTAAAAAAACGGAGCTCTTTTGTCAACACACCATCATTTCCCAAGGAGCTGTTTCCCACCGTTGCATCTCACTGGCTGACTATAGGTGCAACTCACATTTCTTGAATTTACAGATTGACAGTCACGATAGCCACTCGGCATTCCTGAGAAAATAGCAGGCCTTGCTGACATCATGTAGGGGATGGTAACTGTGTGTGCTCATTGAAGGGAAAGGGAGCTAATCTGACAACACCCAAAGGAGGAAATGTTGGCGAGATGTAATTTTGATATCCACAATCTTTGAGGTGATCTAGGTAAGGAGGTAGTTTTTTCTACCTAAATGTAGTAAAAAATAGTGAAGTATCTATGGGCTTGGAGGACAAGATCTGGAATAGTCAGAACCTAATCGAGATTCAGCTAGAATCTAGTTGAGTCTAAAAATTGAGGAGCAGGTGCTCACCACAAGCATCTATTTGTGTTAATTAATATGCATAAGGAGATGAAAAGGGACAACTGCTCCCAATAATATTTAGCAAATACAACGAACAATATTCTTACTCTTAGCAAAGTGCTGATTTGGCTCTCAGTACGATTCTTTGGTATGTTGGTGATGAAGTTGAAAATATTAATCATTTACAATGATCAAAAGGAAACTGATCCCAGTCCTGTGGGTTCGATTTGGCTCTCAGTACGATTCTTTGGTATGTTGGTGATGAAGTTGAAAATATTAATCATTTCCAATGATCAAAAGGAAACTGATCCCAGTCCTGTGGGTTCACTTTGTCTGTCAACACTGTCAAGATGTAGATAGGGGATACATGCACACCATCTGTTCAAGCAGAATGTTTTCCCTTGAAATGTTTTGCAGGTCAAAAATAAATTTTTTAAGCAGTCAAACTATGCCTTTTATGCTGAATAACCAGAAGCCATTGTTTTCTATTTTATACAATTCCATGAGAATTTAAAATGTGCAAATTGACTTTAAACTTTTACAGAGATAGAAGGTTATTTAAGGTTTAAATATTCTCACCTTGACAAAGGATTAGCCTCCTCACTAGAAGAAACCATTCCATCTTTGATCAGTTCTCACTATTGGGATTGTTTTCCTCCTATTATGTTAGAAATATCTCTTTCCGTAGTTCACATCTATTGATCTATTTCATCTCACTGGGACTGAAAGATCTAAGAGTAAACTATGTCAAAAGTCTGGAAGGTAATGTGCTCAGCAAAGTGGCAGGTCAAAAAGGTTTGAAAAATATTTAAAGACACCTACCAGATAAACTCAACAGGGCCAAAGCACTGAGAAGAAAGATGCTTGCTATCTTCATGGCTGAAGTCTTGTGCCCAGAGGTCACTTGGAAACCGCACTGCACTTTTCTTCAGAACTGTGGGACTGGAAGGGTCATACAGGCGGATGGCCACACAGGCCCCACCTGCTGGGTGGTGTCACAGAGCTCCTTGGTTATTGATTGATTCTGTGTCACAGCCTGGCCACAGAGTAGGGGAATATCACTGTAAGAAAGCTGAAAGCAGCAGGGTGAGCCTGAAATATGCAGGGCCAAGATTCTGTCCAGAAAGCTATTGCGGAGGTTAGTGAGTTAGCTCCACCCCTGACTCCCTCTGTGGTTTTGGGAAGGCCTTTCCCCTGTCAAGCCCCAGTTTTCTCCTCTGTAAGGTGAGCTCTAAGATCACATCTGCTCTGTCGTTCCGAATAGGCAAGGAGGTGTGGATAGCTACAAATCCCTCTTCACTCTTTCCTCCTTTTCTGCCAGTCTTTCCTTCCTATTCCTTCTCTTTCTCTGTCACCCATTCACAAAGTCTACAATAGCTGGTAGAGGACAAGTTAGAGAGAGGGAGGACTCAGTTCCTTAAAATGCATACTCTGGAGCTACAGTGTGCTTGCTGGAGCTACTTTCTAGCTGTATGTCCTTGGAAAGTTGGCTCACTTTTGCTGTGCCTCGATTTATTCATCTGAAAATTAAAATAATAATAGTACCTAACTCAAAGCATTGGTCTTTTGTTTGAAAATATATATTGTCTACCATTTGTTGTTAGAAGATGATTCTTCATTCTCTCTCATATTTCTGCACGCCTGTGAGCAGAGGCTCTGATCTCCTTTGTTTCAGACTATTTTTTCAAGGGTATGTATATAATAAAGGGCATTGGAAAATGAAATAATGTTTCCCTCTGGAGCAGTGGGAAGCTTTATTTATAGTTTAGTATAATAAAGGTGATATCTCCTTTTAGGACAAAGCTCATGTGGGTTTTCTGTCCTTTTAGAAAGATTTGGGATTTTTAAAAAGCTTGCCTTCCTTTTCCTGTAACACAGTACACTTTCTGTGCAGGTATCACTTGGTCCTCTCCACATCGCCCTGTGGAAATTGGGGTTTGGGAAACTAAAACAAATGCTGACATTGGCTATTGCTGTGGAATAATTAAGTTCCTTATCTCTGACCCAGGAGTCTGTGTCTTCTGCCAGCATTCGTTAGACTGTAGAGCTTCCAAGCAGGTTTAATCTCAGACCCTTCCCAGGTCTTGACGTATGTCAAGCACTGTATTCATCTCTTGGGATATATCAGGAATAAAAATGACAAAGTCCCTGTCTTCATGGAACTTCTGTTGCATTTTAGTTGATAACAAATGATTATAAAATAGGTTATGATACATATTATAAAGAAAAGCATAGAGAGAATAAACGTGCTGGAGAATTTGGGAGATATTTATTATAGAGGGGTTAGACAAAGTCTTGCTGATTAGGTGATTGATATTCAAACAGAGACATGAAGGAAGTCAGAAATCAAACCATGCAGATATCCAAGAACTTGCATTCCAGACAGAGAGACAGCAAGTGCAAAGGCTCTGAGGCAGAAGCTGGCTTGACATGTCTGAGAAACATAAAGGATGACTGACTGGAGCAAAGTAACAGAGAGAAAAATAGGAGTTGAGGTAAAGGAAGCAGTGAGGTCCTAGATCATGAAGGGCTGTGCAGGCCACAGTAAGCACTTTGGTTTTTACCAGGAAAGGAAACTTTGGAGGTGTTAAGTGCTTCCTTGCCATCTACATTTGGACATCCTGCGGGCTCAAATCTAATATGTCCCATGTTACTATTCTGATACCATAAATATTTTTCTCTTCATTCTCCCCACTGTCTCTTGTCTTTCCAGACAAGTGCTCAAGCCAAAACCTGTGTTCTCCTTGATACTTTGTTTCCCTTTACCAGGCACCATCTCCCACAGTTAATTTGTTAACAAGTTCTCTCCTTGGATTTATGTCCAAAATAGCCTCAATTCTGGACACTTCTCATTACATTCCACCGTCATAGCTAAGATGATGCCATCATTTCTCCTCTTGGTTTTTGCAATTTCCTTCAAACAGTTTCCTAACATCTATTGTTGCTCTTCCTCAGAGCTGCTCCCATAGAACAGTCAAGTGATCTTTACAGAATGCACATGTGATCACGTCTCTCTCCAGTTTCCCACTGTTTGAAATCCTCAGGAAGGGTTTGGGCTGTGCATGATTTGGCTCCTTTCTACCTATCTTGCTTATCCCCCACCAGTTTCCTCCTTGCTCAATCTGCCAAGCTCCACTGGTCATTTCTCTGTTCTCCTTTAATAAGGCAAACAAACAAACAAACAAACAAACAAACAAACAAAACAAACAAAACACACACACAAAAAACCCACAAAAAACCTTTTAACCTTTAAGACTCGGGTTAAATGGCATTTTCTCAAGGAGCCTTTTTTTTTTTTTTTTTTTTCTGAATCTCTCTTCACTTCCTTTTGCGTCTACATCAGGCCCTCTGATTGCATGATTTCATGGTACTCTCCACAGCACGTAAAATAACTTTAATTCTACAGCTATTTGTATGATTATTATGTAATAACTCTTTAGCTTTAGGCAGCAAATATGGTTGTTCTGCTTACTATGGACATAGCAAAGTGCCTGGAAAATAGTAGGTACTAAATAAATATTTACTGAAAACATAAATTAAGTAATAAATGTATATACAGTATATACCAGTACTGATTTTCTTGAAGACCAAGGTTTATGCCTTGCTGATTTCTGTGTCATCAGTGTCTCCTGTACAGTACCCATTCATTGGTTCATTCAGCCTTTTATTCATTCAACTATTGGTATAATCCAAATATTCATTCATTGAGATTTAAAATCTCTCTGCTGAGTGCTAAAAAAATGAATATGATTTCTGACCTCATGGAGTTTAGTCAAAGAATTGATGGATATTGGTTGAATCAGTAAAGTTTTTTTTTCCTTTTCATCTCAAATTATTATTTAAATAGTAATTTTGTTGCTAGTAAGAAGGTTCCAACAGCCAGTGTTAAGGAGGGGTTAGTATTTGATAAAAGGATTTTTTTCTTTGGTCTCACAAGCAGTGTGGGAAGAAAGAAATTGGCTGGGATCTTGTCGTGAAAACTCTTTAGGTAATAGTACTAGCAATAATAAGATTCAGATTTAGGCCTTCCTGATGCCAAAGCCTGGATTCTTTCCACCAGAGTGATTTTTAAACATTTTGACTGTAAAGCCAAAGTAAAAAAAAAAATAAGTTTTTTGTTATGTCTTTGTATACATATACATATGAGCAAACACAATTGTTAAGAAACACAATGTAGTCTTATTTTAATTCTATTCTATGTCATTATTCACCAATCCTGACCTGCAGTTTGAAAAACATTTCAGTACAGTGATATCCATGGACACCAAACAATCTCTTTTTTTAACTGTTACAATACTGGAATATAATTCTAGTTGGAAATTAGCTTTAAAGGTGATACAACAAGATGGTGGAATAGATGATTCCTGGTGTCACTCCCCCAACTGATCCCCAACTTACATCTATTAAAATGAAAAAAAACCCTCCTATCCTGTGATAACTTGAACTCAAGAGTTCAAGGAACTCTTGAAGAGGAGGAGAGACCTATGGAGTTCATGAAAGCATGAAAAACCACTGTGAGAGGAAGGAGGAATGCTCTCTGACCATTCTAAGCCCTAGCCGTCCCCCTCATCCCCCACCCTAGGCTGGCATAGAACAATGCAAGGAGTAGCTTCCAGCACATGGAGCAGAGACCGGGACACAGCAAAGTCACAGCAGCACCCTTTGTATGAAGCTACTTGGAGTCTGAAGGGGAGAAAGGTGATTTGAAGTGCACCATCCCATCTCCCAGGGCCGCAAATCCATTAGCAAGTTTTCACTGGACCCACACAGAAGTGAGGGGCTGTAGCTGACAGGAGGAAAGAATCACCCACAGTTCGGTGAATTTTTGAGGGGGACTTGTGCTCATCCTACCCCACAGGAAATTTGGAGTGTGGGGATGAGGCTGACCCACCGGGGAGCATCAGGGCTCAGCACAGGCAACAGATCTGGCTTCTGATAGGCATGGGTGCCACACAGTGAGGATCAGTCACAGCAATAGAACTGCAAGTGGGACTGTTTGCAGGAAAGACTTAGTCCCAGGCTGGATTTTCTGCACAGCCTAGTTGAGTTGGTGCTGACCCCACATGACCTGGAAGTGACTAAAAGCCTGACAATTAAATCCAGTTTGCACAAAAAGCTTTCCCCAGCTTGAAAAACAACAGCAAAGCAGCAATTTAGCTCAGGCACAGAGCTCAAGTCCCAGACCCCACAGGAAGTTTCCCCAATTCAGGAGTTAAGCACAGGATGGCAAATTAATTCCAGTGTAGCGTTTAAGTGGTGGTGATAGTTATTAGTTCACCACCAAAAGGAAAAAACAAAACAAAACAAAACATGGACAAGAGACAAAGCTCTGTTCTTAACCAGTAAAGGTAGAATACCCTCTAAAAACACCTATAAAACCCGGGAGAGGTATGCATTCCCTCAAATGTGCAGGCATCACAGAGACTGAAAAAGAACAGAGAAATATGACACCACCAAAGGAAACAAAGTGCAAGCAACGATCCAGGAGAACAGTAGATCTATGAAATGTCTACAGAGAATTCAGAATACACTCTTAAGGATGTTCAGGGAGTCACAAGAAAATACAAATAGAAAACTAAATGATATTTGGGAAACAATTCAGGAGCACAGTGAGAAACTTGACAAAAGAATAAAATCAATTAAAAAAAAAACAAATACAAATTCTAGAAGTAAAGAATGCATTATCTGAACTGAAAAACTTGATAGAAAGCTTCAACTGCAGACTTGATCAAATGGAGGAAAGAATTAGTGAGCTTGAAACAGATCAGAAAATTATCCAATCAGAGGAATGAAAAGAAAAAGAATTTAAAAAATGAAACAAATGAAGGAATTATGGACTCTTTCAACTGAAATAACCTTCATACAATTGGAATACTCAAAAGAAATGGAAAAAAAGAAAAGACTAAAAAAGCATACTT